CTCTGAAAAAATTAGATGAACGGGTTTGATATCATCTCTACGAACAGAGTTAAAACCGTTCTACCACATCTCAATAGCATCAGACCTAACAAAACAGTTAAGGAAAGCTGAATTGTTCATACTATAGCTTGCACTTTAGTAACAGCAATTTGTCTGCTTTACATGAACAAATCAAAAGTTTTGGAAGGCCCATTTTTGAACTCTAGCTGGATTGTTCAACTGTGATTAAAGGTAAGACAATTTTAATTACTGGTAATTGTCAGTGTCTTAAACTGAGGAATATGTGGAATGTTGGTACCAGTGATTTGCCAAGAGAACCTGATAACTGCATAAAGGGTAACTGGCAATATACTAGCATACTCTTGAGGAAGGGGGGAGAAACCCAACAAGTCTTTAGAGGAGATTTCATGCTCTAACAACAGGGATAAGCCAGCCAAGTGATGCAGACTAAAAACTAAATATTTTTTAAAACAATATTTGCTTCAACATCTTTGGTTTTTACTTACTAGGTGTTGAATCTCCCCTTATAACCTGCTCTTTCCAAAGGGTCACTGGAACAACATATTCGGTTCCAAAGCGGACACACAACAGGGAACTTGAAATATCGCATATATCTGGAGATAATGGCTTACTCAGGAGGAGAACAAACCTATCACCACCCTGAGAACATTAAAATTGGGTGAGAAAAATCCCACTTTTAATTCCTGACTGAATAGAAATGAGATATAACAAACAAAGATATAAACAACATAAGCACCAGCTTAGAAACACCCCAACATCAATATGCATATTCTCCATACTGTTCTTAATACATTTCCTAAGCTACAGACAAGGAGATTTTTTATGACAATCACAAGCTTCTTAAGTTGGTGATCATTTCCTTTTTTCTCATGACCTTAATGTTTAATTCAGCTGTGATGCTGTAAAGAGAAATTAGATCATAGTCACACCTTTGAGTCACAGGGTTAATCCACAATTAATTAAGAAATGCTATTGAAATATTGTGATAAAATGTAGCTGTGCATAACAGCAAAAAATCTCTTTTGCATTATTTTTTAAAAATCCTAAACCTGCCTGTATCTTAATTCAGGTATTACCTTGTTTGTATGATTTTGAGTATAAAAGTCATTATTTCTGATTGTTTGTATTTAATTATAATTGTAAAGTAGATTAAGATTTGACCAGATATAAACTTGAATGACAACATGTTGAGGAACTAATCAACTGTTCTGATACCTTGCATGTTGAAGATCCTGGAATTATTTCCTTCACCAACTCATCAGACCCTGAAAGAAAAGATTTGAAAAAATTGACCTAGTAAACATAGAATTCATCACTAGAAATTCAGAGTCATAAGAGAGATCTCAGTACAATGTATTATTGACCTCTTGATTCAAGTGTGATACTGTGTAAGGCGAAATTTGACGCTATTCACTCCCAAAGTAGAGGTGTCATTGAGGTCACAAGTGTAATCCCTAAGGGAAAGACCCCTTCCCCGGAAGTAATGTGCCTCACATAGTGAGACAAAATCACCGAAAAAACGACAATAAAAACGAGAGGATTTATTTTACATTACAGCAAATATTTTCAAAGCACTGCCATATACCTGTTTTGTTGCTGGCTTCACTGACTGAAACAAAGTCTTCTTCAGACTGAATGCTCTTTAAATAATCGTCAAGGAGCGAGTTGAAATCTATCACCTACGAGACAAAAAAAAAACGCATTATTTTACGACACTTTTTGGGTAAAGATAAAAAATCTGTGCGCACAAACAGCATATTTTCATTGTAGAATCTAGCAACTAATCCCGCAGAAAAGAAGAAACCTTGCATGAATAAAACGTTAAAATTTAACTTTGTGAATGATATGTCATACGTCACGAGTTATGAATGTAAAGAAACACACAAAGTGGGTTGAATGAAACGATACAATTATGCATCCAGAGAAGAAAAAAAAAGCAGGGTAAAGAGACGTGCTATACATGAATGAAAACAATCATGAACTTGGAGAGGAAACTGAGTTCTATTCCACAATTCAAGTGAAGAAAAACTCTACAAATGAATATGATAGGGTACCTCAAGGATCTTCCTTCCTTTCCAAGGCGCATTACCCGAAGAATCCTCTTGTTTTCGCTTACGAGAAAAAGTTGGCTCGTTTGATGCTTTTGGTGTCCTGTCTTCATAATCAAAGATGGTAGGAATGGCATCGTGCTTCAAAGTGGCTTTTTTTGGTCTTGGAAGACCCAGAGAATCGAAAAGTTTGAAGTTATGTACGAAACAGTGTGATTCGAAATGCGCAGAACACAACCTCGAGTACTTGTTCGGTTCCCAGTTGACGCGACGAACTTTCTCTATCCATATCTGACGGTATTTTTCATCAGAGGGAAACTGGAAAAAGCTCAACGACTTCATCTTTTTGCCATCGTTGTTGCAGTTGAAAGCAGTGCAGTATACCATGGTTGATTGAGAGCTAAAAATTGAAAATCTTCCCGGCGCAAAATTGACGCAGAGCAAACTAAACCACGAGATGGCACCTGTGACGTCATGGTTCCCCTGTGCATCCAGTGAAAAGTAAAAGCTTTGTTCATTGGACAGGAATAACCAATCAAATCACGCGATGCATTTGAGTGTGGTTTTTGCGCGGTTTATTTGAGAAGAAAGCGAGCACTGTTGTCTTCATTGGCCAAGGGTCACAACATAACAACACGAATTATTTCCAGTGATCGAGAGCGAATACGAGGTCTCTTTGGTGGAGGTACTGCAGTGAATGTTATTAATACATCCAGGATTTAAACAAGTTGCTTGATTCATCGTTAAATCTTGGAGTCAATCAGTAATGCGTATGTTGTTCGTTTTGTATAGGTGTTGATTGTAAACGTTGTGGATTTCGGCCTACGACGGTGATCCACTGTTTATTAGATCGGGTCTAAAAATCATTGCCTTCCGTAAACCTGGAAGAGAAAAACAGTTCAGTTCACCCCTGCGAACACAAGCTGTATATTTGCATGCAGCTCATAATCGCGGAGGAAAAAATGGCTACCATTTGTAAAGTGCATAAGCTTTTGTCTCAACTTCAATTATCCTGATATGCTGCGATCCCTATTTCATGAGAATTCTGAAATGATCTTTAAAATATACATTGAATCGTAGGTAAAATTGATGCAAATATCATGGCTTCCTTTAGATCTCCTACGTCTATAATTTAAGTGCGATTATGTCGCACATATTGCAAGGAAACTTCTGTAAATGAAATATACAAAAGATCTTCCAAAAGCTCGTCAAACTTATAATATGTAGTTCAAAAAAGTATTAGGTTAAGATTCCACACAGTTAGGCTGGATATATTGTTAATATTTTCACCACTTTGGGGAGAGTTGTAATAATAATTCATTTCGGCTAATTTTTAGGCATGAACTGTATGCACAGGCAAACAGTGGACCAGCTGTCATCATTTTTTCCTTCTAAGAGAGATAAATACGATAAAGAAAAGGATCATTTAAGGTACAGAATGGAAAAATGATAGGGATGAGATATGATGTTGTACTCTTCATTCCTCTTTTTTTGTACATTTTGAAAGGACAGTTATTTTTCAGGAGTAATCAAAAAGTGAAATTGCTAACTGAGATTTCTTATATGGCTGTTAAGAATGCAGAGAAATGGTGTTATGCTTCAGCCCCTGAATTTCCCAGCAACTCAGTCGATACTGTGGTAAGCACATGTGTATGGATTAGAATGCTTTCTGATAACATGTTGTACAACCAAAATCAAATGGATCCCGATGGCCTTCCAATCAGAGTGAGAGAAAATATCAACAGAAGCTGATAAAAACTTTAAGTAAAAACAAGCAAGCTACAGTATATTTGAAGCTTGGAAAATTATTTGTGACTAAGTCGTGATTGGTTTTAGTGTTGTATCTGATTGGTGAAGAGGGAGAAGCAAGTTTCCTTGACAAATTAGTTAATCACAAAGAAAAGAAAAACAAAACAAATGCAAAATAGTACATACCTTTTGACACTTGGTCAACAATCCATCTATGAGAGATAACTATTGCTGTCTGGTAGTGCTTCCTGGTCAAATTCCTTGCCTTCCACCAAATTATAGAATGTATACCCCTAACTAAATTGCATTCATAGAGGTTTTTTTACCTATAGGAACAGAACTGCACAAGGAGACACTGAAATTCTCCATCTCACAACTAAAAGGTAAAAAATCTTATTATTAAGAACCTGGTAACCCTGTGACCTCCAGGGATTTGTAGCAAAGTGACAAATTCCCCTTTAATCCTGAATTTTTTTATGAGCTTCTTTAACCTTTAATTTCTTCAACTAAAGTAAACTTATCAGGATCACTGTTCTCACTTTTTTTCAGTACTCACTAGTCAAAATGATATTAATTTCTTATTTAGAGTAAAGTGCCTCTTCCAGGAAGATGAAAAGTTCCTCAGGAATCCTAACCTTTCAGTCCAGAGTCTTGTGAAACAGTGCATATTTTGCTACACCTTTAGTTAAAATGTGTTACCACATTTTTAAATATTTTTGGGACACATGTTGATCTCATTTTTAGGAATGTGAGGTTGTACATCAATGAAAAGACTCTGCACCTGGCTCGCAGACATGCTAATCAGACAAAATCTTCCAATGAATGTTTCCTTGTTGGAAGCATCTCTATTGACTCAAGTAAGTAAAGAGTAAAAATTATACAATGCCTTTATTTTAATTATGTCCTGAGGATAACTCTACAGATCACTGTCAGTATCTGAGCAACTGAGTACCCACCCCTTCCCTGACCCATCTTCAGCCCTAACTAATCATCAGTTGACTTTTATTGCATTAGGAGAGGGGAAGGTGTGTAGTTGCTTGGATACTGACACTGATCTCACTCTACAACTCGACCCCTAACAAAAAAAGCATTAAACAAACATGAAAAGACTTAGGGAAGTGGAGCTAGTGAAGATGTAGGGTACTTCTAATAATTTAATCTATTACAACTCCATGAAACATTTCAGAAGAGGACAGTATTGATGTAACAGTGGACAGATTTGATCCAGGCAGAGAAGTTGTGGTCAAACAGGGTATGGTCGTCACTTGATCTTTCTTTATTATTATTAGTATTTTTACATCAAGTTGCTTTGACCTTGAATGTAAAACATTACATGTACCTGTTGATTTTAGTCATAACAAACTCAATGCAAGCCACCAATTTCATTTTTATCTTATTGATGGTTTCAGGTACTGGAAAAGTCAAAAGGAAAGTTCCCACTACAGTTGTTCCTGGAGACCAAATTGTGCCTATAACTGTGAGTTGTTACATTCAAAAATTACCAACTGCTTTTCCCAACAAAATTGTTTCTTTTCAGTAAAGAAATTTGCCCCCTATCTTCTTACTGATCTACATCGACAGTGTTGAAAGTAAACTGTTAAATATAGCTGATAGCACAAAATAAGTTGAACCTAACAAGGTTGATGGCACTCTAACAAATTTTGTGTAATAATCAGAAGGTTAGCAGTTAAAGATGCATTATGTTAAGTATGACATTCTATTTTTCTGCTTTGTTTATTTTCAGTTAATCCAAGGTCTGAGTGGTGCTGAGAACTCTGTAACACACACAGTTGAAGAATTTCAGAGAGCATTTCAGGTACACAATCCATGAACACAGTCTAGATAATTACTTGTTTAGCAACAAGATTTTCCCCGATCGATGGTTTCCATACGTCTTTATAAACATGATATCCACGCACAGCTGACGCGAAAGCGAACGTTTCCATGTTGTTTACTGATCGCGGTCTGCTGTGTGATTCGGCCCAGGCTTTCTAATGTTTTTTAGCCAATCAAAGAAGAGTGCATCTGTAAAGCGTTGCTAAGTTACCTAACTAAGCCGAATGTTTCAGGCTTTTACGTGGTTCTGTTTTTTTGCGCGAAAATTGATTCCTAGAGAAGTGTATGTTCATTATTTGACAA